ACGTCACATGACGTCGTGGATATTTTACATAACTAGACCACGGAACCGCTTACGATCAACGACAATTATATGCAAAGATGAAGTCACATACATGTATATATTCACGTTAGATATTGTCAAAATTTTACACAATGCATGGTGTCTAATTTAGCCTTTATTAAACAGTTCTAATAGTTGTAATAAGAAAATAAAGTCCGCCGAGAACCTGTTTTGTGCGTAATAACTCTCCTCATGCCGCTGTGCTAAAAATAGCGACATGTAATACAATAAACTATTTACATTCAGTGTAATTTTCCTTATGAAATCCATTAGAAATCTACGACGTTCAAATTTCTATAACACTCGCGAAACCTTGTCACCGCGCGTTAGAATACACAGTAGGAACTATATGCATTTTCAATACTCTAAGAACACTAAATTCTAAAATGTTTTATTTCAATTTAATGAAAAACTTTAAAGCGGCACAGTGAGTCAAAATCATATCTTAATTTTCAGATTCTGTAGCATACAGAGAAAGACTTACGAAAATTATGAGTATATAGCGAAGATATGACAATTCAACTGCAAGAATTGACTGCACAATATAAGTGCCGGAAAAACAAAGGTTGTATTAACCGTTTCGTTGCTTCGTATATGTCAAGGTCACGCTACTCTTATTTTTAGCTCAAACTTGTAAACAAAATTCAACTGGAGCATGCAAAGGTGAGAAATATGTTCTAACAACTTTTTAAAAAGATTGCATCAAATTTTTTGGTTTATTTATATTCATTCGTGGATACCTGAGACCATGGTAACTATGGAAACTTATCAAACACTTTTCTGCGCACGCGTATGATAGGAAGGAAGAAGTACCAGGCTATTTTGCAATATTTTCGTTCTGGGGCAGACAGAAATTATTTTTACTTTTATTTTTCCCCGTATAATTTTAATTTTTAGGTTCTGAAACCTGAATTTTCTGAAACCTAATACTTTAAGGAATTGAACAAAATTTACAGAGGTCATGCGAAAATTCTACATTTGCCAATTTTCCCCCTTGTGCGTCACTGTGCCACTTTAACCCTGAAAAATTAATGTAAAAATTAACGTAATGTGCGTTAAGAATTAATTTGCCACTTTTTTCCTCGCAATGTTTGTTTGTGTCATTTAACTTTGCAACGTCATCTAACGTCATTTGACGTCACAAACAGCTCTTACATCTATTAACAACGACAGTTTTGAAGGGGGCTAAATTCATATTTGAGATTAACGAAATAAGCAATTATGAAGAAGGAAAATTAGAGAATGTAAATATAAGCATTGAATTCATATTTTTGGATGTCTTCGGTCCTATAACACACCTGGTCGTGCCGACAAATTATCATAGCTAACGCGCGGTATTCAACTTTTTCGGCACGGCCAGGTGTGTCATAGGACCGAAGACATCCAAAAATATGAATTCAATGCTTAAATAAATACAAATAAAACAAACGGGGCGGGACACTTTGAGATGGCTGAGAGAGGCCCAAGGGTATTTTAGTATAAAATTACATGTACATTGCAAAAGCTCAAAATCTTCTTGAAATATCGCCCGGAAACGATAGTGCAGCAAACAGACAGAATATATAAATTTACGACCTTGAACTTTGACCTTTTGACCTCAAAATCAATAGGGGTCTTCCTTGGGCCACGGGGAGTTGTTATGTAAAATTTTATTGCATACGCTCAAAGGGTTCTCGAGATATCGCGCGGAAACGAAAGTGTTATAACAGACAGAATATGCGAATTTATGACCTTGACCTTTGACCTTTTGAACTCAAAATCAATAGAGTTCTTTTTTAGTCCATAGGGAGTTGCTATGTAAAATTTCAATTCGAAAGCTCAAAGGGTTCTCGAGATATCGTGTGGAAACGAAAGCGTTACAGACAGACAGAAAGACGGACGGACGGATGGACAGACGGACGGACGGACAGACCCAAATTAATAACCCCCACTTTTCAAGCGGGGGACAATAAAAGTTAACTTGACCTTGACCATGTAGACCTTTGACCTCTTTTGCAAAATATACTGCAGGGAGTAAAATTTAACTGACATCTTTTGAATTTAGAGAGGCAGGAATATGATTACTAACATTTATACATGTTTATTAGCTCATGACAATAAAAAACTCATCATATTACGGAAATATTTTTTTTCAAATGCATTAAAATTTTTATTGTGAAAAATTGTAATAAACGTACGTTCATTATTTCCATATCATTTTACAGATTCTTATAACATTAAAATATATCAATGCGTGTCGTCATGTGGTGCAGCGATTAAAACGTTTGCACTGGAGTCACAGACCTGAAGACGTCGATCCTTACGTCACGGGTTCGAATCCCACTATAGGGCGTGGAGATCGGCCCTTCAGGATGACTGAGATCGTGAAACTGAGGTCCTGTGTTGCAGTAATTAAGTGCTGGCCAGAAAATTATTCCTCACTACTCAATGACCCTTAGTGATATAAATCTAGATTTGCAGTCCGACAAAGGCAATGAAGGTGCCTCAATGTGAGTGGAAATTCTCAAGAGGGTCGTCATTCATCCCAGGTAGCACAACAACATTTTCTAAAACGTTATTACAACGTTATTTTGTATGGTTTTTTAAACGTTATCATAACGTTTTTCAAAAACATTGTCCTGCAATGTTTGGAAAACATTTTTGAAAACGTTTTCAAAACATTTTTAAAATCGTTTTCAGAACATTTCTAACATGTTTTAAAGGATTAAAAAAAATTTACAACAAAAAAAGTATTGTACTTCCTATGGTTTTAATTGGTTTAAACTCTTTCACAAATATAATCCATGAACTCTTTTTTACATCCACACAGTCAATAACAGTCTTCTTAACAGGGAAGATTTGTCACAATTGAAATAAGAAAAAAAATCACAATATCCTTCTTCCTTTGGAAATCATCTGTTTGGCACTTGGACTTCTTTGTTTTCTTCTGAAAAACAAAGATATAGAGAATAATTTTAGAAGATTTAAAAACTATAAATATTCATAAATCCGATGAATTATACAAGAAAAGTGTGTATGTTTTTGGCAACAGTTCTATAAAATATATACTAAATAAACATGATGAATCTATCTCCGTTATGCATTCGTGTCAGGAAATTTCAAACATACCTTTAAAATTAATAAATCCCTCAAAGATGGTGTGTAGCAAACTTCATTCTGTCCAATTCCTCTCATAACATGTAATATTTAGTCTTTGCAAACAGCCGCTGTAAAATGAAAAATGATATTCATTTTGAGAATTGTAAATTGAAAAATATATACATGACACTGCATGTAAATACAAATCATTTTACATTTCCAAAAAGTATTAAACCAACTCGTTAAGCCCCCCCCCCCTCCACACACATACACACACACACACACAAACACGCAAACTCAACCTACTCGATCTATTTAAATCATGTTTTGAAGCTTTCAATTTGAAAATCTATCTCTAAGCCTGGGGTGATTATACTAAAGTACACATTAATAAAGAAAATTCACACTAGACACAAGACATAATACATATGTAAAATAAATGCACAACCATGATAAACTTCAATGATCAGTTTACTTCAAAAACAACCAATTAACCGCCCTCAAATATCCAAGATATATACAATCATTTACCATTGTTTACAGGGAATGATTCAGGCTTATACAAACACATGCAGCTATAATAAATACATGTATACACGATGAATACAACTTTAAATTCAACATACCACACGGTGATGTAAAATATTCCCTAAATCCTGTTCTTTGTCTCTCAAGAATGCTGTCCGGTTTTTCAAAATCTCGATAAGTTGACCTATATAGATCACGTGGAAATAGTTTGCAGCAAGGAGCGGTTTCATCAGCGCTGACCACGGCATCCCGCTGTGTCAATCAATTAACTTCTGATAAACGCGTTATCCAGGAGGAAATAATACAAGTGAATAGATGCACTGCATTACTTTGTTGAACTACATCACATCTTAGAAAAAATACTTTAAAATGGCTTTTTATATATTTTTCACAATTATTATTTTTTTTTTTAGGAAATCGATGTGGCATATAAAACAATTAAAAAGAACTGAATTAAAAACATTTTTGTTTAATTTTTTTTCCTTAATATGCTTTAAAAGATATCACCTAGTATTAATAACAAACAAACAAAAAAGTGAATACTAAATGTATATTTTTTAAGAATTGAAATATATAGAGATATTTGTTGTTTCTATAACGTTTTAACAACGTTTTACAAACATTTTAAGACAATGTTATATTCATGTTTTCTGGTATCATTTGTGATCGGAATTTATAATAAATTTCATTCAATTTAAAAATACATATTCTTAAAATTTGAGTCAACGTACACAACACACTGTGTATATTCTTAATATCATATTATGAGTTTTTAGAATAGTTTTTCTCAAACAATGGAATATGAAAACATTTTTATAATGCTTTTTAAGCAATAAAAAAAAATTCTTATTATGATTATAAAAATGTTATGCAAAAATGTTTTCTAAAAACTTCCTTCCAACCAGTATTAAACGTTATGAAAAACATTTTAAAAATGTTTTTGAGAAACGTTTTCTAAAAACGTCATTATAACCTAGATAAAACGTTATAAAAACATTTTTCAAACGTAATGTCAAAAACGTTTTGGAATAACATCCTTACAACTGGAATATAATGTTGTGAAAACGTTTTGTGCTACCTGGGATGCCACCGTCTATCAGTACTCACGGTGCTTTGATTTAGTACTAACTTCTTATCATGTCTTGTTCTGCAGGAAAGTTAATTACTCAAAATATTTGATTAAAGAATTATGATTTTCTTTAATCCTATTACCATGTTTTTCAATATTTCTTTGTAAACAACTCCCTGAGAACCCACGATACAGTGATTGCATCTAATACATCGGGTTCGAACGCAAAAAACAACGGTTCAACATTCATTGTTTTTCCACATGTGACACAAACAAACAGAGAGAGTCTGTTGAGGTGAAAAACCCTGAAGCTGCTAAGCGAATGCTAGCCATGTTCACATTTTACCTCGATGAACTTTGACAGAGGTGATAGTTTTATCAATTAGTTTTGTAATCGAATTCAAACAAGAGTTACCTAGCAAGCTGAAGTGAATTGAAAGGATAAAGTTCATTAATTGCGAAATTCCTCCAACAGGTCACAGCTAGTAAGCTAGTTCCCGGAATTCGCAATTTTATCAATAAAGTCCATAGAAATCACTCGATCGACCAATCCATGAGCTATGCTATAAAGATTTCAACTTTAGACATATATATATATATATACGCAATGTACTTTGAGATTTTCATGTGTTCTGCATTTTTTCAGACATTGAAGCCTTTCTGGCTCTGGGCCCGTGTAATTTTTTTTCTTACATGTATTAAGTGTATTTTATTTATACCCTGAAGTATAATTATTACAGCATAATTTATTTACTGTTCCTATGCAAACGAGGTACAAAAGTAAATGAAATAGATGGGTGCAAATATCTTTAAAAATGCTAGCTAATGACAAAAAAAGTAATGTATACAAATTACTGTGGATAGAAATAAAACAAACCTTTTTGAGAATGCATATGCCTTTTTTCACAAGAAATAATCCATATAAAGACAAAAATTCAACATATTCACTTTTTTTCTCGCTTCAAATTTACACACCATGTTACAATCGGAACTCTCTGGATTGTTCGTAGTAAATGCAGTCATACTTGCCAACCTCCAGCATGTAAAAATCTGGTCATGACCAGATTTGGAAAGTAAAAAATCTGGTCATGACGCGTAACAACATTCACGACATATTTACCATGATTAAATTTTATACATATATATACAAAGTATTTGTATATTGAGAATTCTTTTATTGAAAAAGGTTTTAATTTACTATGACAAAAAATTCATACATAATTTGATTAAATTAACATGTTAAAAAAGAGAATTGAAGGTTTCATATTTCAGTAATGACTTGAAGTAAGTGTGCATTTTTTTTTAAAGCCTTTTCACTTTCCAGTTTCTGCTAAATTTGAAAGTATACCACTGTATACCAATTTCAATTTTGAAGTTATTTTTCCTCTCTCTTAATTAATCAACTACTGCAATATGTTTAAATGTGAAGTTAGGCCTGCACTGTCTTCGATCACTTTATTTTATCTAGAAAGATTTTTTCCAAGATTCCATGATATGTACATAAATATCGTTTCTCTTTTTCTTGGTTCAATCAGAGACATGTGTTTCAATTTGTTCCTGCTGGCCCTGATAACAATCTAGTTCTATCGGAAGCCATTTTAATTGACTTCGAACATTGATTTGTCAAAACAACACCCAGTTAATTGTTTACACCTGCACTGATAATTAATCCATCGGCATTGTTTACGTAGATCTAAGCTTGGGTTGTAACTGGAAGTTAAAAGTGCAACCTAATTTACGAACCAAATCCGGAAATCTGGAGATTTTCGGGTTGTTCGGCAAAAATCGGGTGAAAAGCATGACCCGCCGGGTCATAAAAAATAATCGGGTTACGGGTTGAAAAATCAGGTGTGACCCGACGAAATTGGGTGAGTTGGCAACTATGAATGCAGTTAGTACATGTATGTGAGTTATTTACATGGAACGAATCATTAAACCAGGTCTATAGGACAATATTATCTTAACGATTCTATCTATAATGGTTCATTTGATATTTTATATTATATAATATATTATTATTTAATAATAATTATTGATAGTCGCTGCTTGATTTTTACCTGTTTTTCTCCATTACAGATGAGGACATCATGAAAACTTTTAATCTCAAGAATTCCATTTTTCAATTTCTGAATCGAAGAGGTGAGTTTTGTTAGATTTGCTTGCTTATATCCATCATACAGTCTATTTCAAAAGCACTGGTCCGTCTGACAAAACAGGTGAAAATCTTATTGGTCCGATGCACTTTCTAGTAAAATCGGTCCGTTTGTCCGAGGTTCGTTTTGGTTGGGTTTTAAATTATATATTTCCTTTTTTATTAGGGATGGGTATCGCCAAAAATTTCCTATCGCGATATATCACGATTTTTTCCCACAATATCACGATAATATCATGATATATTTAAAAGCAGTTCTTACAATTATTTTATATGAAAAGTCATTATTTTTCTTTAAAAAATATATGCTAGAAAAACGAAATTTTACTTTCTTGAAATTTTTATGTATATAAAATCAATTATGTTTGGACAGTAAGATGCCATTCTTTTCACTTTTTACAACATTTTTTACACTTTCTGTAATTGTAATTTGAAATATTGAACTAAAAAATGAATAATTTCTGGACTTTATAACATGTACCTAAAGACCGGTATTTAGATCTCCGTATCACGATACGTATCACGCAACAAAAAATCGTAATATACCGGTATACCGATAAAATCGCACATCCTTATTTTTTATCATATAGACGCTTTAACTAATACAAAAACACATTATTAAAAACATTTTGTTGATTGTGATTGTTTTAAAACCTACTTCCGCCACAATGTCTCTAAAATATTTTGATGGGACAGTAGCACGGAAGAAAAAGAAACATTTCAGTTGATCTTTTAATGTGTTGTCTGTTTATTGATTCATATGCTATGAAGTAACATCATTATGATCATTGTATGATTAAAGTTTTGGACCGGTGAAAAATCATTTGGTCCTGTGAAATTGTGTGAACTGTCTGTCCGAATGTCCTGTGGCAATTTTTCTTTTTCGCGAAGACTGATCATAGTTAATTTTTATCATTTAGTAAGTTTTTACCAAAATGAATCTTCAATTATATACAAGTACAATGAAGAACTAAGGACAGAAAATGTACATAATGTATTCATATTTCTAATCTCTGTAGGTTTCTCTTGTCTGGGATTTTCAGTGTTGTAAAGTAATTTAAAAATATAACTTTAAATGTTTAAAGGTATATATAATATACAATTATGGACTGTTTAGAAGGGAGACATCACCAGTTATCAGGTCTGAGTAGGGTTGTCACCCGAGGGCGCTTGCGCCCGAGGGTGACAACCCTACTCAGACCTGATAACTGGTGATGTCTCCCGTCTAAACAGTCCATAATAGTTTTATTATCCTGAAGAATCTAATTATCAATTAGACAGAGTAGAAAATAGTAATCAAACCTTAATTTTGTGTCTCCGTCTCTGCTCTGATTCCATACTTTTAAAATATGTCAACAGACAACTCGATCTGACGTCATCGTTAGAATTTATTGTTTACCGATCCCGCATATTAGTAATACTATAATACATGTATAATCAAAAATAAGAGTTATCTCGCTTAAACCACTGTAATTTCATTCAAAGGGCGACAACGCAGTTGTAACCCTGCTTACTCATTTACGCTATTTCATTGTCATCTGGAGGGTGACAACAGTTGTCACCCTGCGCGCGAGGGAGACATCAGGAATTGTCTCACCTCACGTGACATGCTTTAAACCAATCAGATTGACTGTATAATTCTGAAGGATAATAATACATGAAATTTTCAGATATTCACAGAAATTATAACTATATTTTCATGATATTAATACAAATCATTTGAGACCAGGCAACTTCAAGCAAAAATATCAATCATGAAAACTAATTTTAAAAAAAGAAAGAAAAAAGAAACAGGCATCCTATGCCAGCCCATTTTTATTTTAATGATACATGCTGTATCATATTGATACATGTCTAGTGTAAATGAACTAAGTGAAAAGTCATACTGTAAATTTAATGTGTGCTTAACAAGCAGGATTCAAATAAAATTTCAAAAGTTTTCTTGTTTTTGTTTTGTTCTGTTTTTTTTTTAATAAATGAAGAGTTACCTTTCTTTGCCGAAGTTGCACATCTATTTTAAGCCCCTGCCACTACCCCTGAATATAGGGAGCCTGACAGTAAAGAATATGTATAGCATGTTTGTCTGGTGCATAGAACTTCATATAAATTTAATATTTTATCCATTATTACACTCTTAGGGATGTTGATGGGGTGGTATGGGAACACATAGACTTCATGTGCTACTCAGTCCTAATAGATTTGCTGTTGACAGATACATGTATGATGTGACAATTAAGTCATGGTCTCATAAACATGAGTACTTTTCAGCTGCAGACATATATTTAACAAATAGTTGAAGGATTGCAAGAATAGGGCATCATTGAATTTTTAACACTTGTCAAAAGTCAAGACAAATGTTCAACACTATTAAATCACCATAAAATAGTATAAACAATTACTTAAGAAAGACACTGACTGGCCTCTGTCCACATAATTTTACATGTGTATGTTTCATACATGGTTATTTTTATACATGCAGATGCATACATGTTTAATTATTCATAATTGTGTGAGTATAGCAGTTATAAGTTAAGTTATGATAGATGTTTGATTTCCCTAAAATATTTCTTACTTTCATTTGTTACAAAAATTATGTGTCTATTTAATCAATTTCTTTATTGTCAGAGGGGTTTTTTTTTGTCAAAAAGAGGCTTCTTGCTTTATTAAGGTCAATGTTATGTACATGTCCAATTGATTTCTTTATTTTCAAAAGATTTGCTAAAAAAGAGGCATATGTTCAAATTTGGATTGCTTTGGAAATTTGAAGATTATTCCTAAGTACTGTGCATTGTTCAGGAAAAACTGTTTGTGTTTTTCTCATTAGAATTGAATTTGACCTGAGGTAGGTCATTAGAATTGAATTTGACCTGAAGTAGGTCATTAGAATTGAATATTGACCTGAAGTAGGACATCTACACATCTTCCAAGTGTTTTTCATTGCCTGAATTAGATATGTTAATTTTATCATTAGGCTGGCTGAAATTAATTCTAAGTTTAACGTCACCTATAAACTTCAAAACTTACAAGGGCAGAAGGGAAAAATTAAACAAAAAAAAAAACAACAAAATAATAAATAATTCAAATAAATGAGTCTTTACTCATCTGCATGAATTAAGTTAACTGTAAATATTTGTAATCATCATGATCATGTATAGGCTTTTTGGTTAAATAATCATTTTCAGTAAACCTGTACATGTATCTATTCTTTAAATGATAGATTGATTAGACTCAGCTCCAATATACCTCATAGAAGGTCTAAATATTGTCTATCTCTTTGGAAAGTAGTTTTTAGGTGCTTAACATAAGAGAAAACTGGAACAGAAACATGATATAAAAATATGGATTTGTTTGTTTTTTTTCAAAGTGCGAAGTTCACTGAAAAGTTAAGTACACGCGCGGGTGATGTTAAACATAGAATTAACTTTAGATAGCCTTAAAAGTCTTACAAGTAGTGTTTTCAATTTCATGAATGATGGTTTCTACACTCATATTTTAGTGATTACTTTTCAATTATTATTACATGTAACTATTTTTTCTCATTTTCAGGTAAAACATTACTTAAAGTGTTTGCAGTGGTGGTGCTCATTTATTTCTTTTACTGGGAAGTGCATTGCATGATCTTCAAACAGAACAATGTTGTCTGCATTTACATCCAAGGACGTCTGGCCAATGCCATGTTTCAGGAAGCCTTTGTGTACTCATTTGCCAAAGAAAGAGATGGAACGGAAGTTGTTTTCGGTAGTGAAAATCCTCTAGTCAATATATTTACCCTGGAGGGACTTAACTGGAAATATGATAGAAGTTATTCTTGCTCTTGTTACTCTAAGTTTGAAGATAAGTGGGACTGTGCGTTTGATGATGTTTTCGAACGTCTCATGCCTCCTGTTCAAGTCTATGGATATTTCCAGTCTTGGAAATATTTAAAAGGCCACGAGGAGGGAATTCGCAGAATGTTTACATTTCAACCACATATACAAAACAAAGCCAAAGATCAACTGCACACTATTGTTGATTCCTTCAAGGATAAGGGTGTTTCTGACAAGACCGTTCTTGTGGGAATTCATATACGAAGAGGAGACTATATTAAAAAGAAACATTTTGTAGACTTTGGTTACAATGTAGCCCCTGATGTCTACATACATAATGCCATAAAGTTTTACCAAGTAAGATATCCAGATGTTCTCTTCATAGTGTGTGGAAATGACATAGCATGGGCTCGAGAGGTTATGAAGAGTTATGGGAGGGTCCACTTTGTGGAAGGCAATTCTCCTTCACAAGACATGGCCCTGCTTACTAGGACCCACCACACCATAATGACGGTGGGGACCTTCGGGTGGTGGATAGGGTGGTTAACAAACGGCACCACCGTGTACTATAAACACACATACAGAGAAGGCACAGACTTCATGGCACAATTTCATGGGAGTACTCAAGAACATTTCTTACCAAATTGGATTGGTTTAGAATGATTCCATTAGATCATTATTTATTTTTATTTTTTTTTCTAAGTTTCACTTATTAAATGTACCATGTGCTTTGATTGCTAAGTTCTGTGATTGTCTCAACCACATACCTCTCCGTGAACAAAGTGAGTACTTTTTTTGGAATGTATTTTTGTAAAGTTTTACAATTTTGATTTATGACTTCAGCGTTTTTACATTTTCAGTTTTTTCTTCACTTCTTATTAGGTATTCTAACAAAAGAATATGAATTTTGTGCATGCTAATTAAGATACTTGGATAAATTATTTGGTTTTTTTTTCCCTAAGGCATGCCATTGTGTTTTTGTGTGTGTAGTTCAAATGAAGATGGCCATATATTTTATTTATGGCTATAAGTAGTAATGTTTTTTTTCTCGATTGACAGCATAATAAGCATGATTTGCGCTAAAACCTGTATTCCATACATTCCTATGCAGTTACATTCTGAGTGTTCCTTAATTACTGTGTGTACCTCAGAGTTCAGATTTCATGCAACATGTGCAATGACTGATTCAGCCTCTCAAGGGTACTTCTAGCTTAGCTACAGTGCATGCACCTGTATCCAGAGAATGTTTCTCCTAGTGTATATGGAAATTGTAAAACTGTGCACCCAATTCCCAGCAAGTTCTTGTTCCTGTTAATTAATATTTGATGTTAGATTGAGAAAATCAGGTACATGTATTAAAATCAAATATAACATTCATTTATGTTAAGAAAAGCCAGTAAGTACAATGCATGTATGCTTTGAATGGTCATTTATTTCTTTGAGGTATTGTTTACTGAACTGGAAAGCTATTTATACATATTAATTTACTATAATGCACTACAAGACATATACGAGACAAGTATATACAGTGTATCAAACTGACTCATAAATGACATGTCTTGTGAGTACTAAAACACTGAATATTTATTGAAAGCACTTTTTTTTGACAAGAACTTTTCTTCCTGTTCTAATGTGACACCTGTACTGCTTATGAAAATTTAAACATCACTTATTTTTTGCTTTATAAAAGAGTTTGGTTATAGAATAAAAAAACAAAATTCATGAAAATGAAGTCGTGATTATTAGACAATTTCATGAAAAAATGGTGTCGTGAATACACATATTTTAAATTTGTAATCTGCAATAATTATTGAGGGTTACATGTACATGTATTATTTTGATCTCATATGTAATGAACATTATGAACATTCATTTTAATGAAATGTGTTTGCAAAATAAATTTCCATGTATTGATTATGTGTTGAGATGTTCAAAAAAAAAAACTTTGATAATGTACTGTGGCATTGTTAGCCCCTACTTTACATGTGTGATAAGCAATGCAGTCTTAGTTTTGCTATTTGTTTATCTTTTCATCTGCAATTGTGATTTTTTTTTACATAGTCCACGGACATAAGAAACTATTACTAGTTATAATAGTTCCAAAATATAAAAATGAAATTAGTTAAACCCTATTTAATAGGAGAATTAGCTAAAAATATACAAATTTTTAGCTAATTCTGCAATTGAAAAGGGTTTATAATTTCGGTTTTTTTATATTTAGGAAGTTTAAATACAATTGGTAAAGGGAACATTAAAAAAATTCTTTTCTATAAATTCCTGAAAGAAATCACACCTGCAATTTGTGTAGCAAGCTAAATAAGTGCATAGAGGAGCAAGAGTCTCCATTCCAAAATTATGAAATTCAAAGCCCATGGGATAGTTCTTGTTTAGACTCTATTGAACATTTAGAGAAAAATTCCTTGACTCTTAAAAAATGTCTTCTTACTCTCTGTTCATTTACTGGACAAACTGAATGTATAGTTGAACAAGACTGCCTCTTCCAAATTAATGAATTTCATTGTCCTTTTGGCCAAGAGATTTGATATAAAGTTTGGGCACTATGGATCAATTGGTAAAACTGCTTTGATTCTATGAAAACCATATCTCCCCTGTTTATTCAGTAGACAAATAAAGTGTTGATACATGTAGATCAGTAAGAGTGCCCCTTCACAAAAGGAGGAGAATTCATGACCTCTTTGTAAAAAGTTTAGTCTCATTTTCCCAAGACTCTCGTTCTCGAGACTTTGCCCGCGCGCAAAGTCTCGAGAGCGAGAGTCTGGGGAAAACGAGACTATAAAAAGTTATGTTGTTTGGTCTGACAGTTGTTTTACATCATTGAAAATCGTTTACTCCTTGGTACATGTACTGAAGAGACAACATTAAGAGACGTTACGCACGGTGTTGGTGTCACATCTGGGAACGTTATAAATGACGACGAACGTCACGTAAACGGAACGTAAAAATTACTCATATCAGTAAGCGACCTAGTAAAACTTTGCATGAAAGTATAAATGCACACTGAAGAGTTCTAACTCCATGGGTTTTTATATAGATAAGGTGGCCTCCTATGTTGAAATAAATGGAAATCTTAAGCAAATGACACAATTTGAAATAATATGAAAGCATTATTGAAAATAAACTGAATACTTTATTTGCATGTAAGTAAACATCAGTGATTACTGTTCTCTAATACTTCATTATCTTGGAACATCTTGATATATTTTTTCTTGATAAATTCTTTTTGAAAATGAAGTATCAACATGTCTATATAATATATATAAAATCTTAGAGTAAAAATCCGTTTTCATTCGAGTTTAAAGCTCTCTTACATCCATTTCTTTGTTCAAGGTTAAAAAATGAAAAGAAACTGGAAGTTTATTGAGTAAATCTGTTTATTATGTAGCGTGAAAAACGTTCATGTCAAATACACACAAAAGTATTCTTTACCGTATTAATTTACTTCCTTTAAAGTTGTTAAAAATGCATGTTTCAAATCAATTCTAAAAAATATTTAGACGCCATTTAATATCAATATATCTTGCGTTGGATATCAATTTAGTGTGTTAACACGCATAAATCGACACATTCCAGGATATTTTCATTTTCCTCTTCCGTTAGGTGAAGAATTATTTTATTTCGTTTTGAATAGATACATTTTTATGGCACGCCAAATACACAAAAAAGCTTAACATAGTTTCACAGACGATAAACTAGGTTTATCGGTTGTAAACTATAGTTTACGGACTGTAAACTATAGTTTACAACGTTACTCTATATTTTACATCTGTAAACTATAGTTAAAGCGATAATCTCTGTTTCAGAACCGTAAACTATACTTACATGTAACACTGAAAACAATCATTTGCGATTGCAAAACATAGATTATCTGATAAATACAGTTTCACGATTTGTAAACTATGGTTTACAACTCTTAACTATAGTTAACGATCTGAGAAATATTATAGTTTTACGATTTGTGAAACTATGATTAACAACTCTTTACTATTGTTCACGATTGTAAATTATAGTTTACAGACGTGAATCTATGTTTATAAACACAACCTATTGTTAACGTTTTTATTACAGACAGATAAACTTAGATTAGATTATAGTGCGACATTTAACTCCGGACACGACATTTGTCCGGACTTTCGCCAACCACTTTTCCAAAGATACATAGAAAAAATTTATGTCATCCGGTGGGATTTTTTTAATCGCACAACATGGGCTAACCTTTACACCTGAATATCTTCCAGTTTAAAAGATATTACACCTGAAATCAAGAAATCCCATGGGATTATGGTGGGATTTTCTCTCCTAACCAATATCCCACCATTATTCTGTGGGAGAAAAATGAGTTCTGTGGGATTTTTTCTCCTATAGAATCAAAATTCCCATTTTTAACCTTACATGGGATTTTTTATCCCATAAGTTGTGAAATGGGACAAGAAGTTCCATAATTGTCACAAATAGGATTAAAAGTTCTCTATCATAATGTTTTATAGAATATATTATCCTACAGGAGAATGGAAATTGTTTTTATCTCTTTAATTCTTTCCCTTTGAAAATTTCAGTCCTAACTCTTTCCATTTATCATTTTACATTTAGAAAGTACATGCTATTGCAAGCAAAATAATACCAAATTGGCAAAATTTCATTGAGAAATAAAAAAGTTATGACCATTCAAGAGAACACAGCAGTACGATTAACAGAGAAATTTGGCATGATGATGGATTCTCCCTATGAAAATTTCAGTCCTCTTACAATTTATCATTTTACATTTATAAAGTACATGCTATTGCAAGCAAAATAATACCAAATTGGCAAAATTTCATTGAAAAATAAAAAAAGTTATGCTCATTCAAGAGAACACACCAGTCCGATTGACAGAGTATAACATGATGATGGATTCTCCCTATGAAAATTTCAGTCCTCTTACAATTTATCAATTTTCATTTAAAAAGTACATGCCATTGCGAGCAAAATAATACCAAACTGGCAAAATTTCATTGAGAAATAAAAAAGTTATGCTCATTCAAGAGAACACACCAGTCTGATTGACAGAGTTTAACATGATGATGGATTCTTCCTATGAAAATTTCAGTCCTCTTACAATTTATCAATTTACATTTAAAAAGTACATGCCATTGCAAGCAAAATAATACCAAACTGGCAAAATTTCATAGAGAAATAAAAAAAGTTATGCTCATTCAAGAGAACACACCACTCCGACTGACAGAGTATTACATGATGATGGATTCTCCCTATGAAAATTTCAGTCCTCTTACAATTTATCAATTTACATTTAAAAAGTACATGCCATTGCGAGCAAAATAATACCAAACTGGCAAAATTTCATTGAGAAATAAAAAAGTTATGCTCATTCAAGAGAACACACCTGTCCGATTGACAGAGTTTAACATGATGATGGATTCTCCCTATGAAAATTTCAGTCCTCTTACAATTTATCAATTTACATTTAAAAAGTACATGCCATTGCGAGCAAAATAATACCAAACTGGCAAAATTTCATTGAAAAATAAAAAAGTTATGCTCATTCAAGAGAACACACCAGTCCGATTGACAGAGTATAACATTATGATGGATTCTCCCTATGAAAATTTCAGTACTCTTTCAATTTATCATTTTACATTTAGAAAATACATGCTATTGCAAGCAAAATGATACCAAATTGGCAAAATTTCATTGAGAAATAAAAAAGTTATGCTCATTCAAGAGAACACACCAGACTTAAGTACAATTATCGGAGTAATATGACATAATGAAGGATTCTCCCTATGAAAATTTCAGTCCTCTTACAATTTATCATTTTACATTTAAAAAGTACATGCTATTGCAAGCAAAATAATACCAAA